TCTAATTACCTTAAAAACAAAGTGCTCACCCATATTTACTACACACACTATATGCTTTCACTATGAATTCACAAATTACTCAGTCTGAACTAATTTTATTTAAAAGAAATCAAAGTCAGCCCTTATTGTTTCAAAAGCAGCCCCAAAAGTATGACTACTCACATTGAAATAAGCTTCACAATGATATTCTATTTCAATATCAGCATCTAAAATTTCTCTTCTTTCTTGAAAATCAACTACAAATTTAGTTTCTTTTCCAAACGAGGGTGATTCACATGTATTCCAAAAAGTAACTTCAAGTTCATATTCTGTTTCAAAACCAACTTCAAATATATACTCTGTTTCAATTTCATATTCATGAAATTCTTACGGGTGCTTAAGAGAAACCCTAGGATTCAATTCCTCTGTTTAAATTTCAATTTCATATTCACTAATTTGCAGTGCGTTCCACTTTTCAAAGCAAGATTAACATGCAGTATCAATTTGTATGTCGAAAATTACTCTTTAAAAAATCTAATTCAAAAAATGCAGATTTGGTTATCTGAATTTGAAGTGCATAAAAACGCAGCAAAGAAAAATTATACTCTATAGGTAAACACTAAAGGGAGTGAGCACATGATTAAGGATAACAAAATTAGGTTTTTGAAGAAGCAAAAGCTGGGAAAAGAAGGAAAATTAGAGGAAGGGTTGATGAGACCCATTATCAAGATTAGAGAGAAGATTTACCTGGATGGAGTGAAGGAGAACAAGCCTTGGAGAAGCAGGAGGGTACGGGTTATTTATTAATAGATGGGTGGCCGGTGGAAGAGATTGTGGGGCGGTGGCGGTGGTGGGAAGTACGAGAGCGAACGGCGGTGGCGGTGAATGAAGTACGAGAAGAGTGCGGGGAAGGAGAGAAAGGGTAGTTTCCCGCAGGAGGAAAAAGTTTGGGAATAAATTCCTGAATGTAGGAATATATTCCTGAGAGGGAAGATCGGGATTCAATATCCCGAATTTTTTTTTTTAAATAGGGCCTACAAAAAACGGGATTCAACATCCCAATTTTTCTGAAAAAGTTTTTCACTTTTGCAGATAAGATTCCAACTTTAGGCATGTGAGAATGCTTTTTTAATGCATTATAATACTTACTCCATATATCTATCCGTATGAAACCATCCTTCAATAGCAAAGTTAGATGTTTTTTTTTCATGTTCTTCTTCTACAACTATCATATTATATGATAATATAGCCAAAAAAAATATATTTTAGATTACAAGATTTAAGAATCCAAAAGAGTAAAAGAAGATCTTCTTCTTTTGGAAGGTATGTAGTGTTTTACTTATCTTTTTTTGTTTCATTAGCTATTTAATTATTTAAAAGTCCCTCCATTCCCTTTTCTATTACAATTTTTTTTCGATAACTTAAGTTTAATTCTGCAATTCATTAAGTATTTGATAAAATAAAAGATTATTGTCACCTCTTGTCTTTTAGAACTTTTGACGTATTTTTTTAATTAGAAATTTTTATTTCTTATTAATATACCAATTTATAAATTAAATGATTTCAAAAAGTGAAAATAAGTGAGAATATGATAAAGTAGAAAAAAAAGTGACAGATCCATCATCTATCTATAGCTACATGGTGGATCTCGAGAATAGAGTTTGCAACAAAAACATTTTCGTATCACTCCGAAAATTACGAACATCTTACGAAGTCGTGAGCGAACAAAACATAAGTGGGCTGTTGCAGACTATGGCAACAACCAATATGTTACCAGTCATATTTCTCGAACAGATCCATCATCTATCTATAGCTACATGGTGGATCTCGAGAATATAGTTTGCACTTGTGGCCGATGGTCTTCCGATGCAGTCCCATGTGTTCATGTTCATGCTGTTTTCCACTCTAAGCGTCAAGTTGCTGACAATCTCATCCCACCGGTATATTCCGTTCAAAATTATCTACAGTGTTATAGTGGAGTGATTCATCCAGTTATTTTTAAACCCAATTTAGATATTGGTGACTTTCGTGTCAATCCACCAATAAGGCCGGAGGGAGAGATTCCACGTTCAGGAAGACGTAAGCGTAACCAGTACATTGGTGAGATGGATCGAAGAGCTACCAGAGGAGGATGAATATATACATCTACCACACTTAATGTAACTTTATTGGTCTTTTTGTTGGATGTATCTTGTTCAATAAAATATTTCTTTCATTATTTTTTGTTTATGAAAAACTTCAATTTTTGTTCAGTTTTTTAGATTTTAAATATTTATATTATTAATTATACACCTCCAATGCAAACACTACGGTTTTTAAATATTTCCATTACTAAAACACTAAAAAGGCAAACAAAAAAATATATATGTACTTCACTTACGGTTTTTTAATTGCCCATGCAAATTCCATAAATATTTACTTTTAAAAATCGGGATTTGTAAACCCGAAAAAATTCCATAATTATTTACTTTTAAAAATCGGGATTTGTAATCCCGAAAACAAAAAAAAAATTTGAGAAGTGAAAATCGGGATTTGATATCCCGTTCTTCCCAACTGGGAATTTGAAGCTAAAATACTTCCCTCTGGCATAATTTCTCCGGAGAGAAAAGCAAGGAAGAAAGGCGGTGACGTGTGGGAAAGGAGAGAAAAGCAAGGAAGTGGTGACGTGGGTAAGGGACGGAAAAAGAGACGGGAAAATAACTAAATTAACGGTGGTAAACGTAGTTGGCTCTTATAATATAAGGGGGGATTATTATTAGGGGATATATATATATATATATATATATATATATATATATATATATATATATATATATATCTAATGGTTATAAAATATTTTAAAACCTAAATGAACTGAATATTTTAAAGAAACCAAATATATTTAAACGAACCGAATATGTTTAATATATTAAACGAACCGAATACGAATCTTAAAAAATATGCAAACTGAATTCGAATTCGAATTCGAATATCACTCCATCTTAACGAATATGAATATTTTTTCATGAATATTCGATTCGATTTGGTTCGTTTACAACCCTAACTTTGGAGTGCTAACGTAAATACGTACTCCGAAATAAAGAACTGAGAGTCTGAGACCTCTCATTTCCCCCCTTCTTTTTTTTTGAAAAGAAAAAGTTATGGATTACAAATTGGGATTTATGAGGAAAAATATCTCATTATTTGAAATCATTTTATTTAAAAATTAGTATATTGATAAAAAATAAAAATTACATATTACTCCCTCCGTCCAAAAAAGATTGGTACATATTGACTTTTTAGAAAATTAAGAGAGAAATATTTTGGTGTTGACTTTCCAAAAATACCCTTGATGTGATGGGTAAAAATAGGATGTGATGTGATGGACCCCGCTTCTCGAGGGCTCCCGCCACCGGACCCCTGCTGTGAATTTATAATATTGTTGAGCGAGCACGCACTGCGCGTCTCCTAACTCGTTTGATAACATCTATTTAAATTCTTGTCTAATCTAAGTAAATTCAATCACATAAAATAAACTGATGACACAAAAATCACCAACACCCTCTGAGATATAAAGAGTAAACCATTCACTTCTCCTCCATTTAATTTCTCCTTTTTTGCGACCTATTTTCTTGAGTGAGCAAATGGAAAACCAACATGCATGTCAAACTTAGAGAAACTAGGGATATGCTAGGGGTACACCAAATGTGTACCTCAAATGTACACCACTTCCCTTTCTACCATTCATTTTATATTGTTTTTATTTTTTATTTTTTATTTTTGAATTTTTCTTGCCTTTTTTTGTGATGATGGAGGGGGTGGGGGATGTTTGGGGTACACTTTTGGTGTACCCCTAGCATTTTTCGAGAAACTATTCTAAACATATTGATAAAATATACGAAGTATATTTTAGAGAGTCTAAAAATAATACTCACTTATTTTACAAGGGCTAAAAGTATACTTAAAACTTTTTTAAAAATATAACAAGAGTGAAGCTCAAAATTAAAGCAACACTTCTAATACTTTAAGGATGTGTTTGATGAACAAACAAGATATGAGTTTTAATATTTCCAGATATCAAAATTCTTTTTAGGTGTTTGGTGAAACAAAAAAAAATATCAAATTTGATATCTTCAGAATCATAAATCATTCAAATGGAGGAAAAAATAATGACATAAAGTAAAATCGGGTAGGGGTGTAAACGAACAGAATCGAAGCGAATACCGATATATTTGAATTTGTATTTGTTTAATTTTTTCGAATACGAATCCGAATCTGAATATGAGACGAATTCAAAATAAGATTTGAATAAGTATTTGATTAATATTCGAATAGTTATCGAATCATAAACGAATATTTGAATAATCATACTATGTAATTTATATGATGGACCAACATCAATTTGTAATTTAACTTACGATACTCTTTATACTATACTATATCCCGTATATAAAAACATTAATACATCTACATCTTACACAAATTATATTTTATAAAATATAACTATTAAAAATCATATGCTTTAGATTTTCGTGTTACGTTAATTTATTGAATTCTTAGTATTTTAAATACACTTTATACTATATTACTTTGTATGACTTTTGATGTTGAAAACATGGTCTGTGTATATATACATATATTCGAATATTCGAATATCATCCGAATCGAATATATCCCTATTTGTATTTGTATTTGATTAATATTCGAATCAAAAATAATATTTGAATTTGAATTTGAATAACACGAATTCGAATCATCATATTCGAATACAAATCGCGAATCGAATTTAAAATATTTGATTTGTTTACATCCCTAAAATCGGGTGATTAAAATATATAAAAAATGTAAATAGAGGAAAAAATAATGACATGTCATTGCAAGATGTACCACTATAATGCCATGTCACTGTGTGACTAAACTGACTTTGATTGGCTCAACAGTGTCATATCAGCGTGTGACATTCCAGTGTATGCCTTATCATATCTAGCAAAGGAGCCCTAAATGATACAATTACTTTATTGAAGTTATGAGGTTCCTTTCAAAAAAAAGGAGAAAGAGGAGAGGTGTATTGTTTTGAACCAAACACATCCTAATTCCTAAGGGATGGTTGTTTTTTTTCTCACACTGACGCCCTAAATATACTCCCATCCCCCCAGCTCGCTCCGTCATTTCTCTCCATCGAAAAACGGTGGCTTCCGCATCCCAGTCTATATTAGGGTTTCGAGCTACTCTCCGTCGCCGGTCGACCCGCCGACATGTATCTGCTCAGTCTGACTCTCCATAAGCCCACGGGCATACTCTGCGCCATCAACGGGAACTTCTCCGGCGGAAAGGCCCAAGAAATCGTTGTGGCCCGTGGCAAAGTCCTCGACCTCATCCGCCCCGATGACAATGGCAAGCTCCAAACGCTGCTTTCAGTTGAAATCTTCGGCGCCATTCGTTCGCTAGCTCAGTTCCGACTCACTGGTGCGCAGAAGGATTACATTGTGGTGGGATCGGATTCAGGGAGGATAGTGATATTGGAGTACAATAAGGAGAAGAATTTGTTCGATAAAGTTCACCAGGAGACTTTCGGGAAGTCCGGGTGTAGGAGAATTGTTCCAGGTCAGTACCTGGCTATTGACCCAAAGGGTAGGGCTGTTATGATGGGGGCTTGTGAAAAACAGAAGCTTGTTTATGTTTTAAATAGGGATACTGCAGCTAGGTTAACCATCTCCTCACCTCTTGAAGCTCATAAGAGTCACACCATAACGTATTCGATATGCGG